CCCCTTGACATCGCCTCACACCTAACCCAAGTAAGGCAGGTGAAGTCAACGTCCATTCCCAGCGCAACAGGTTGGTCTAGGTCGACCTTACTTTAATTGCAGGAGGTGGTTGGGTCCCACATGGAGGCTTGTGTACTTTCATATGGCTTCTTTGGGGCCGGGCGCACATGTTTTAGATGGATCGTCATGGGCAACTCTAATTAGGTAAGTATGCCACAATGACGTCCATTTCGCAGGTTCTACGAGGTGTCGGTTTTACCTCTGACAACGGTGATTTAGAGAATATGTTATAAGTATACTTGTTGGACAAATCCAAAACCCCCCAAAATAACTGCTTTTATAAAAAAATTAAACTTGATGTTTTAAGGTGTCCTAATTTCCCTCCCGCCACTTCTCTATCGGAGAGCTATAAAGTTAATCAATAACAGAGATTCCGATATGCGAATTATTAGTCAAACCAATCAGAAGTGATGTTTTATACGTAACTATATGGAATATAGAATCTTTGCTAACGAAATGACACGTCGGGACTATAGTTTCAAAAAGGGACATTTTGTTAGCAATGATCATATATGTCATTTGTTTAAAATAAAGATTATTAACAAAGTTTTGAGATATTGGTTTGGCCAAAGTTTGGGATTTGGATAGCGAGTATAGATATAAGGCATTAATTCGTCTGTTAAATTTACTCTCGTTTCATAGAAGCTTTAAGATACCTGAGCTTTAAAAGAATTATTGTGAAACGTATAAAAAATCAATTATCCATCTATGAATTCGATTCGGATAACTAACCAAATTGGACATTTTCCCTTGGCAGTACTCAAGACAAAATGCTGTTCTGGTACTTTCGTATCAAGCAGTTAATTTATGTATTGTCATTTATATTTTATGTGCAGTATCGTATCTTTTACCATACTTTCTACACATTTTTTTTTTCTTACACTTACATATGATTACGTGTTTAAAATTCTTTTCGATAATATAAACTTCGATACAGTGATTGAATTAAGTGCTTCAATTGTACATTTCAGAGCGTTAATTTTTTTTATGACTTATAACCAATTAAACACGTAACCTTCAAACTAAATACGTAAAGTTCAAACACCTGGAAATAGACAGGTACATTCAATCTCAAACTTATTTTATTGAAACAAGAATTTCTAAAATGACCTTACTATTCGTCTTAATTAACTAAAAAGATATAATACCAAAAATATATATACATACATGAATAAAAAAATAAAAAATATGTACAGGAATAAAAAAATAAAAAAATATGTACAGGAATAAAAAAATAAATAAAAAAAACATATGTACACGAATAAAAAATATCATAATAAAAAAAGAAAAATATAAATTCGACTAATTCTAGACCAAGCCTGATAAACTGTTTACTCGAAATTTAAAATTATAAGTTTCGTAATGAAATCCGGTTTAGACCGTGTTTTCATGTAAATGATATTTATACAGAATTTTCAACCTGCTTAGTTATATGAGCTAATGTTAAATCGATTTTTACATACTTTAAATACTTCATATTCAACCACATTAAATCTCTTTTTTGATGTTCTGATTGATTTTTCATAGTTCTTTTGTATACAACTCCACTTATTATTACAATTCACATACGAATTCAATGAAAGATCTTTACAGCCAAAGGATGGACCACAACAATCATTATCATAATAAATCGCTTTGTCTTTTTTGCCAGATTTAATTTGACTAAATTTAAAATTAGATCTTCCCAAAAAAAAAATAAAACTTTTATTTGTCGTTCCATATTGATGACTAATGTATTTCCAAGCAATTGGGTTGTATCCACCAAGAATTTCACCCGTCCCTTTAACTTTTAATATTACGAGAGTTCTAGATATATTATCGCATAACTTGTGAAAATTCTCGACTGTGAATCCATCTCTACTACCTCTAAGAAGCAATTTAAATTCATATGGAATTTGTTCTACTGTATATGGGTCTAATTTGCCATCAATTTGAGAAGCAATTGCTCTGGCATGTTCAATGTTAATAATAACACTTGGTATTATAACTGATGAATTAAACCTTTGAAATATTTTCTCAATAATAAATCCACCATCTTCTAATTGCATTAAGTCTTCATAAACTTTTTTGATTGTTGGTTGATTTGGATTGTTTTTGTCCATGCATTTGTTACAAAGTTCAATACATTCACCCAATAAATTACGTTCATTCAATAAATTAGGTTGTAATGAATTTTTGAAAATTTTCGAAAGAATTTCTCCAAAACGATATATGTCATCTCGTTTTTTACCACTTGAACTTAGTCCAATACCTGAAATCATCATTGCATGATTATGAACTAAAATATTTGTAGAGTTCTACGATACCGAAAACATTAGTATTAATAATATTTATATGGTCAATAAAAAAAAAAAAAAAAAAAAGAAAGAAAAATACTCACAAGATTACCGTGAATGATTTCGTTTTTATGTAAAATGTACAGACCTTGTGCTATTTCTCTTGCGATACGTAATTTATCAAATAAACTCATTCTCAAAGATTGACTGTCCAAATACGCGTTCAAGTTTCCTCCATTAGCAAAAAGCAGAATCAAGCAATAATCTTTATTATGATCTATTTATAGAAATATAAATATTATTAAATCAAGACTAAAATTTGAATAAAACCTTAGGGCTCATCGACATGTACAATAAAATTATTTGCACCTTTAGCTATTCCGTAGAAATTAATAATATGAGGAGATCCTCTAAGCTTTTTTAATTTTTGAAGCTACATAATAAAGTAAGCAAAAAAACATAAATAAATTCTAACAATATTACCCTATTATTAAGTTAAATTATAATACCTTTTCAACGAAAGTTCCATCAAGATTAGGATAATTTCTCAGACTTATAAGAGCGACGGTTATGTTTAATTCGTGAAAGTTGGCTTTCTGTACTGTTCCACTGGATTTCGTAAATTTAAATTTACTCTTCTCATAAAAATCAACTGTTTTTTCCAACTTAGCTTCATCAAGAGTCGTCCTTGTTTTATTAAAAGCCATATTAGTCTCGGAATAATATTTCTTATGTTCGAAGTTTAAATTTACGGATATTTGAAGAGGCAAATTCTGTGGCAGGTTTTATTCTCGTAATGTCTATTCTCGTGTTGTTTATTCTCGTGATATTTATTTGGGATACGTAGCACAACCAATGATGACTTACATATATAAAGTCATGATCACTAATAGCACTATATGTAGCGTCTATATTGAATCGTGTGCTGATAGATTTTATGACATCAATTGTTGCATGACCAATATCGTGTTTGCTTCGCCGAATTCTTTTATGACCAAAGATCACACGATTTGAAATGTAATCAGAATTTACTAAAACTACATATGATGTGTGCATACTCATAATCTTTGGCTATTATTGCGTTATGCTTGCAACATTAAAAAAAATTTTTTTTAAATAACATTAAAAAAATTTTTTTTTAAATAACATTAAAAAAATAGAATTTATATTATAAAAAAAAAGAAGATTTGGTCAAAACGTAGTCAAATTCGTGTAACGCATATCATTTCTCCTTTTGGTAAAAGATCTTCAATTGGAAAATTCTTTTTTAATTGCCTTTTTTAATAATCATAACATGTACTAGCGGAATGTTCAGGTATTGTAAAATAATTTTTTTATATATTGCACACCGGGTGAAGGATCAGTTGTGTAACATCGACGGTTCTTCCTGTTAGTGTGATTAAACAAGAAATTGTATTGTTTCGGACATAAATAAGAGATCATATTGGACACAAATACACCATGTTACAATTAACAATTTTAAATTTTAAATTTTCTAATCATTATCGATCATTATCGATCATTATCAATTTATATTTCTAAATTAAAATACGTATAATGTTATCAACAATAGTGTATACATTTTTGTAAATGAGGAAACTCAAATATGAGTAAACTTAGAAGAAAAAAATAACCTTTAAATTTATAACTCAGAACGTCTGAAAAATATTCAATAACGATAACAATAATTTTGCAATCTGTACTCATCTAGAGTAGCCATTTAGATATCTTGTAAAGTAACACATGACTGAAATTAAGACCTATTTTTAGGTAACTATTTTTCAAAAGACATAAAAAAAATTCTACAACAATAAGGATGAACGTCACAATAAAGAAGGCCACTATAATAAAAAGGATGGTCAAAAAGAAAGCCTCCTGGAAGAAGTATTGGTTTTTTTAAATATAAACATTAGCAATTAAAGTGCATTTCAATTTTTTATATGAAAGAATTCTTTAATTTCGTTTCCATCAAATAAAGAATTAAGTCTGAAAAGTTTGCAAAAGTTAGCAAATCTATTTGTTTTGAATAACAGTTTAACATTAATAATTGTAGAAATATTATTATTAATTTAAAATTTTAATAAGAAATGTATCAAGATTTTATGTCGAATAATTAGATTTTAAAACACATTCACTCATATGATTCTGAATTATACACATTTTATGATCAAAATTTTATATTACTTAATGAAATAACTTTTATGAAGAGTGAAACTCACTACGTAGATTTCACGGGGTAAAATCTGCTTTTGCACAATAAATAAGATTGCTAAAGGCAGATTTTTTTTTATCATGCAGTATCATGCGCATTAATATGTACAATTTTTCCATCTTTAGATCTAAGTAAATACATAGTGCTTGACTAATTCAAAAGAATTTCAACATATGTGCACTTTTACCCACATGCAAGAACTTTAAAGACTAGTAACCCAATTGGTACTTTTTTTTTTAATGTGGCCTCTGGCTTTAGGCAATGACTATACGATTTTAATAGTAAAACTTACAATTGTAATTATTTTTTAATCAAATTTACATTATAAAGAACAAAATTTTCTTTTTATTATAGTAAAATTTTTAGTAAATAAAATATTTAAAAAAAATTATACTTCTATATATTGTAAAGCTTTTCTCAGTTGGTTGAATTTGCCTTATTTACACAAACCAATTCATTTGATTAGTTGATATCGATATTATATGATCGCTATATAATTTTTGTAAACAACTTTTGATATCTAAAATTTAAATATTTATATTTCATCAAATTTTTTATCAATTTTAATAATTTTATTATTGTTAGAACCAAAAAAATTTGTTTTACAATTTTACTTAATAGTTTAAAATGATTTATTTAATGAATTTTGAAAAAATAAATAATCTAGATTTTAATAGTTTATATTCTAGTTACCTATTACTTGCAATTAAATTTGTTATCTTTTAGACAGTTACTGCTATTTACTTTTGCTTTTATAAAGCTTATACAAATTCTAATACTAAATTTATAATATATTCTCAATACTTTAGCACCTTTTATATAATACGTATTTCTTTAAATAGTCTAAAAAAATCATCTGGAATGATTATAAAAAGTGTAATAACATAATTATAGTACAATTACAGTATATATATTACAGGAATAACTAAATAATAATAACTATTTAAAAAAAATTTACAATATATGTAACTAAAAAAGGCAAATAAATAGTGTTAATAGTATATTACTACACTTTTTATAATTGTTCTAAATATACAAATATATACTAGCATATATTTTTTTTAATCTGAATTTGATAACTTAGTTGTTAGAAAATAAGTATTGAAAAATTAATTTTTTTTTAATCTTAAACAGTTTTATTAATACTTTATTAGGATCTTTAGGGTCAATAGCATAATTGTTATGTTTTGAGATTACAAATTGTAAGATTGCTAGTTCAAATTGTAGTAACAGCAATTGTAAAGATGCATTTCTAAAAATAGAAAACTGCAATACTATAGCATTAGGGACCCAGGATGTCATCAAACAGACTTATTTTTAGAAAAGATAAGTGACCTGTGATTGAGAAGTCACCTGGTGATGAACACAAGTTAGAATCTGATTTAGAATAATTGAAGTCATGAGACATAATATAAGGTCAAAGTCTGATAATAAAAGATACTATATAAATTTATAATAATAATTGGTTCTGGACAGAGCTTGGTAAAACTTCTGACTCTGACAGAGATTGGTGTAATAAATCACTTCTGAAAAGACTGAAAAAAGATCAAACTAGGAGAGGTTAAGGTTCAGTGATCAAAAACATTTGAGAACATTAATTTAAAAAATATAGAACACAAGAATGATCTTGGCAAGATCATCAAAGAAGAAAAAAAATACTTTATTGGAATTTTTAAAATTATATTAGTAATTATATAAAACTTTTTAATAGTTAAATTTAGCATTATTTAATTATTTTAATAATATTATATTATTAATTATTTAAAAGAATTTTTTTATAACAAGTATATTAATTATCTTTATTGGTTTTTTATTTGATTTATTTTATTATTATTTTTTTATTTTTAATAAATTTTTCTTTTTAACTTTATTTTTATTTAAATATTTTTTTATCTTATTAATTATATTAATCTTGTTTTTTATTATTATATCTTTTTAAATTGTATTTTTTATACTTGATTATATAATATATTTAACACTATTTTTACTATATATTATATTTATACATTTCTGTATTACTTGCTTATTTAGAAACTGTTAAAGCTTTTTTTGTATTTTTATTATAATTAACTCTTTTATTAATATTTTTTATTTTTATTTTTTTTATTTTTATCTTTTAAAATAAAATTATATATAATATTTGTAATAAAATCTTAGTTATTTTTTTTTTAAGTTTTTTTTATATTGATGTAATTAATAATATTTGCATTTATTTTCTGTCTACTATAACTTACAAATTATTTTAGTATTTTTTTTCTTATTTAAATATATTTAATATTTTGTTATAAATTAATTAACAACTTATATATAAATAAACAAACTAAACAATATTTATAACTTTATTTCATCTCCAAATAACTCATAATATTGAATCTTAAAAACAATAAAATTCTCTTTTTTAAATAACTACTTATTGATAATAACTATAATCTGCTTTTTTAAAAAACATCTATTTTTAAACTTTTAAATTCTTTTAAGATTTTAACTCCAAATAGTTCAAAATACTTTTAAATAAAATATTTTTTTCTTCTATTCAATATATATAGTCTAATCTTCAATCCAACTAATTAATTCATTTTTAAATATACTTAATCTAATTATATCCCAATAACATATTCTTAAAAACACAGATATTCTATATTTCATCTGATAATTGGCATATAGGCAAAATAATCAATACATTTAGCTCTACAATAATTTTTTAAAAACATCAAATTATTACATTAACAATAAATACAATTCATATTTCTTTTATATCTACAATTATTCAAATTAATTATAAACAAATATTAATTTTGAATACAAAATATAAAAAAGAAAATATTATTCTGAGTTTAATATTAATATTCAAAAAATTTAAGTATTTTAAAACTTTTTTCAGAAATCTTTTTAATTCAGAATACTATATCTGATTCTATTTATCAAAATCAACTTATAAATATTTACAAAAAAATATTATTTCTAAACTCAAACTACTTACATTTTTATACAAACACCTTAATACTAAATTTATAAATACAAAATATTTTTATTAATATTATTTGGATCTTTGAAAATAATATATAAATTAAATTTAATATTTTTATAATTTATGCAACAAATTCTATAAAAGTAAAATTGACAGCTTTTATCTTTTTTTTCTTATTCTACTTACAAATTATTAAACTTATATTCATATAAACAAATTATCTACTATTCAAACTCTTATATATTTAATACTTTATAATTATAACTCACAAACTAAACAAAATAATCAAAATATTATTTATATTCTAAACTTCTTAACCAATATTAAGTACACTATATATAAAGTTAAACCTTATTCAAATAATACTTACACAACATAGTCAATGCTTTGATTAAATATGAAACTAACAAAACTGAATTAAAACTTAATCTTGATTTCTTTTATTTTTCTATTTTTTTTTATTTAGAACCAAATACTAATTATATACAAACTATATAAATTTTATAAAAATCTAATTTCTATTCAAA